TGCTGAGACACTAAAACTGTACTGAGACACTAAGAAACCAAGTTCTGTTAATCTCATTTATATGTAAAAAGTAGGTCTTCTGAAAAGTGTATCTACTTAGTTCAAATATATTTTAGCACTTCCCTTTTACTTTTCATAAGAGGATCTCAAAGTACTATAAATATTTAAAAAGTCCCACAATACCCTTGTGAGGTAGGTAAGGGATATAAAGATCTATCATTGGAATGGATTGGCAAACACTGTACACCTAGTTAGGCCGGAAACTGAAGAAAAACATACCTAATTGAACCTGTATGGGAATTCTATGCAGCCAGAATGTAATTGGAATTTGGCTAGGATACTGGGGTTAACATCCCACTCCTGCAGAAAAAGAACAGTATGTTTTGTATATGACCACATGAGGCCATATTAGCTGTTTTATGTCTCTCTAGAAAGGTGCTTCCAGTAGCAGTTATCTACTCCCAAGCAAACCCTGGTCCAAATGCAGTTTAACAGATACAGTTTGAAAACAGTATTCAGTAAATCAGCCCAATTCACCTTTAATCCAGCTGGAAACTGAATCTGGTACAGAACATGCCAGACCACATATTAAGTAGAGTATTGTAAAAAGTTTATTTGCTACTGACTCGGTGAGTGGGTGTTCCTTGGCACACATACCTATGGAGTGGCTCCTCCCATGTGGCAATGACTGCAGTTTCAGGACATAACTCTGAGAGGAAGTTCAGGGGTGGGTGGGTGTTATTTCTGCCTCAGGGAAAAGTGAAACTGTTTGTAACTCCAACTGGGGAGCTACCTTTGTATTCTCTTCCAGTAATAAATAGATGTGTTTTCTGTTTAACTGAGCTCATCTGGCATCATTGTTCCATTATTACTCTGCCTGGCAGTGCTGACCCACCAACCAATGAGGTGAGGTTGCGTAACAATATTTTTTTCATGAGCAGAGGATATTGGTGTTCCATGATCTTCAATGGCTGTGCATTGTTTTGAGTTTAAGGTGTTAGTTTTTTACCTATAAACACCTACTTGGCCTGGGATCAATGTATTTATGAAACTACTCCTTTCCCTATGTGACATTGCCATGAGTTATGATCATCAGAGGTGCTCAGACTAGAATCCCCTTAGAATGCAAAAGAGGGGGCTGCTGGAAAGGAATTCTCTGAGGACTCCTTGGCTCTGGAAGTCTTTCACTACTAGGATCTCAAATAGTTGGAATCTATTTGACCTGTAGGACAGGCTGGATAGACCATCTATTTTCTGGGGAAAGCCTGGGAAAGACTGAGGCTTGGTCTACACTAAACCCCCAAATCGAACTAAGGTACGCAACTTCAGCTACGTG